TCCCACCGCCACCGCCGCCTCCGCCTCCGCCTCCACTGCCGCCACCGACACCTCCACCCCCGCCACCACCCCCACCGCCACCCCCACCCCCTCCACCGCCTCCACCTCCGCCTCCACCGCCCCCGCTAGCTCCTCCAGTGCCCCTGCCCCCCTTGCCCTTGCCAGGGCGACGTCTCCCGCTAGGGGTAGACGCCGCACCGACCGACTCAAGCCCAACGAGGTCGGCCGCAGCAGCAGAGGCAACAGAGGGCAAAAGGGGGGAGGGGGAACACCCCTCAAAGATGGGGGTGCGAGGGTCACCACGAGAGGCTCCTACAGCGACTATGCTCTTCTCTGCTGCTAGGAGGGACTTCTCGAGGAGGTCAACGGTGAGAGTGGTGGGGCAAACTGAGAGGAAGTGGTCCCTGACTACGAGAAGGGAGTCAGGGAGCCGGGTGACTATGTAGTAGAGGGTGATGTACATGGGGGGGGGGTTCTTGGCGCAGAACTCAGCAGGAAGCGCAGCGCGGTAGCGAGTGTCACTAGTACGGAGGTGCGTAATGAGGTCAGCGACTGTGGGAAAGGCAGCAAGGTCAGGGAAGAGGTACGGTAGCATGAGGCGGCTCAGTGCAGCAGTGGCAGGGGAGGAGTAGCGCGCAACTACAGCGTCGTACAAGGTGTGAGCACTCTTGTACTGGCTAAAGTGCGCACGCTCAGAGGTAGGCAGGTGGCGACGCACAGCAAGACGTGCAGCAGCATCGCGCGTGGCCCACTGTGAGCGAACAGTGGCGTCAGCATCAGTTGCGGGGGCAGGAGAGGCACCAGAAGTGAGGTCAAAGAGGGAGAGGCCGTCTGCCCTGTCGCACTGTAAGAAAAGCTGCAGGTCATCTATCCAGACATCAAAGTCAATGGCTCGACCCTCAGCGTCAAAAGCGAGGACACTAGGGGTAGCCATGACAGTAGTAGACTAGCAGCGCAAACAGTAGGGTGAGGGCAGTGCTGTGAAAGGGGCGCTGCTCTTACCGGACAGGGCGGCTCGGGTGGCTCGGCTACAGGGCGGCTCGGCGGCTCGGCTGCTGGGCGGCTCGGCGGCTCGGCGGCTCGGTTGCTGGGCGGCTCGGCGGCTCGGCTGCTGGGCGGCTCGGTGGCTCGGCTGCTGGGCGGCTCGGCTGCTGGGCGGTTCGGCGGCTGGGCGACTCGGCTGCTGGGCGGCTCGGCGGCTCGGCGGCTCGGCCGTTCGGCTGCGACTGCTGCTGCAGAGACGGCGGCGGCTGCTGCCTCAGGGACGGCAGCGGCCGGCCGCTAGGGGCCGCGTCAGGTGCAGGAGAGGGCCGCGTCAGGGGCGGCGTAGGGGCCGCGGCAGGGGCGGCGAAGGGGCCGCGTCAGGGGCCGCGTCAGGGGCCGCGGCAGGGGCCGCGGCAGGGGCCGCGTCAGGGGCCGCGTCAGGGGCCGCGGCAGGGGCCGCGGCAGGGGCCGCGTCAGGGGCCGCGTCAGGGGCCGCGTCAGGGGCCGCGTCAGGGGCCGCGTCAGGGGCGGCGGCAGGGGCCGCGTCAGGGGCCGCGTCAGGGGCCTCGTCAGGGGCCGCGGCAGGGGCCGCGTCAGGGGCCGCGTCAGGGGCCTCGTCAGGGGCCGCGGCAGGGGCCGCGTCAGGGGCGGCGTCAGGGGCGGCGTAGGGGCCGCGGTAGTGGCGGCGGAGGGGCCGCGTCAGGGGCCGCGTCAGGGGCCGCCTCAGGGGCAGCGTAGGGGCCGCGTAGGGGCCGCGTCAGGGGCCGCGGCAGGGGCCGCGTCAGGGGCTGCGTAGGGGCCGCGTCAGGGGCCGCGTTGGGGCCGTGTCAGGGGCCGCGTTGGGGCCGCGTCAGGGGCCGCGTAGGGGCCACGTCAGGGGCCGCGTTGGGGCCGCGTCAGAGGCCGCGTAGGGGCCGCGTCAGGGGCGACGTAGGGGCCGGGTAGGGGCCGCGTAGGGGCCGCGTAGGGGCCGCGTAGGGGTCGCGTAGGGGCCGCTAGGGGGGGGGGGCGCTAAAAAAAAATTAGGGCAGGGGCGCAATGCGCGTCGGGCAGCTAAAAAAAAAATTTCGTTATGGTGGGCCCTTAGGAAGGAACGGTCCCATGTAGGAACCCGCTCTATACCATGTGAATTAAGAAAACAGGAATGGGAATGACTAAGGGAAAGTTGGGTACAGATGCAAACCCTAGAAAACTGTACCCCATATGTGCTACCCCACTATAGCCTACAGTAGCTCTGTCATATAAATCTGACACTCCTTAGGGGGGGGGGTAGTGTAAGGAAATTTCATTTTCCTTACTTCACGTCCCTGCTCAGCGCGTACACCACTGTTTTCGCCAACAACTCTCAACAGTGCACCGTTACCACTCGCGACACTCGCCTCGACCACTGTTCCCGCCACTGTTCACGATGCGACCCAACCTCATGGCTCGGTTGGTAACCCGCTCTCTGGACCTCCGCCTCGACAATTCCCGGCCTTGGCGCTAGGCCCGTAGCGCACCCCATTTTCACACATTACCGTTTTCACTTTGGATCCGCTATATATTGTTCGCTCATGCCTTCGCTCAATGTACTGTTTTGCTTCGATAGTGCAATTCTCGCTCGCTCGCTCAATTGCACTCGTAACAGGGGTGGTAGACTTACACGTTTATCAACACAACCTATTCCCCTTTAGAGAAGACGTTCTACTGCCAGCGAAATACACTTGTCAAAACCGTCAGCAGGTATCATACCATACCCGCGGCCCTGTTCTGTTGGCGCATTAGGGGTGCTCAGCCTTAACGATGAACATTCTTGGAACGTGCATTACAAGGATTAAAGCCGACGTCGAGCCTCCCAAATCGTTATTGTCTCCCGAACCTCTGGTGCGGGTGTTGTGCGCGCATTACTCATGCATGCGTAAAAACGCTGAACTCTCCGTGCACTGAGAAAATTCAACGAGCTTGGTTCCACAGGCAATTTTCCCGCATGGCCTGTGCGAGCCCTATGCACTCGTCGAGGGGGGAATGAAGAGGCGCACAACCAATATCGGGCAAATCTCAACACCCGTTTATGGGCATTTGTTCGGTGGAATACTCACCCCAAAAACAATCCAACGGCTAGCTAGTAAGACTGCCACATCGAGAGCATCAGTAAGCAAAATTTTGACTTTGAAAGAGTGCCAATGCAGTGTGTAACACATTTTTTTCGGGCACACGGAAAAAAAATATGTAATATTGTAGGTTAGAAGACTCTTCGACGAGGCTGCATGCCCTTTCTTAGGCCTTGTTCGTTAGGGACCCACTAGAGTGGGCCCACTCGCACTGGCGAACCCTTCGTGGGGCTTCCTTGCCTCGGGCCTCAACTCGCACTGAAGGCACCTTCGCAGTTGATTTCGGGAGCTTGCGTGACAACAACGAAGTAGCTTCACCCCTTGGGAAAACCATTTTATTTCCCCCCGTCACTCGTACTGTATTACAAGGGGGGACCCTGTAGTGGGCCGCAGCTCCACTCCGACTGGTTTTTGCCAGGGGAAGAAATTTCTCCCTCAGCTTCGTCGCGGCCAGTCCCATCACAGAGGCGTTCGGTACCAAACCCTAACTGGCTAGGTTCGGTGTTCTACTAACGATAATATGGGCTTTAATCATGTACACATTCGAAATGGGGAACCTGCCCTGACCTATCTGTAGGTTGACTAGGGCCCAGTTCGGCTGGCGTTATGGGCGTTATGGCCTTTTTAACGGGCCTCGAAAAATGCCGGGTCGAAATAACGACGAAGCCAAGATGCGCTAGCTTTGTAACTTCGGAATAACGGGGTTGAGTGTTTGGCAGGCGTTAACAATGATGGCGTTATGGGCGCTGAACATTCGAAGAGGCCAGAGTGCAGTTGCTCCGCTGGATCGCACAATCTCTGTTAACTGCCCTGACAACTGTTTCTCCTGGCGAAAAAAAATCCGATAGGGGAAACGCACCCCTCCAACCTCGTCCTCCTACGCTGAAGGAACCAGACACATTTCGCCAAGGCAAGACTCTTCCCTCTAGAGCCGTGACCAACATATTTCAACCATAAAGCGAGTGGATGATGTGTTTGAATTGTCTGTGGATGTGTGGTTGAGTCTCAATGTTTTGAATGGGCAAGAAAAGGGGTATGAAAGCTGGGGTTTCTTTTTGTCAGGGCATGGTGTGGTTGCCCCGGATCAGTGATCCGCCGCATGGTGGTGGCTCTCGACGATGGACCATGCGGCGGATCACTGGTGCGTCTGTTTGCCAGGGGCGACGGATTCCTGGAAGCATCGAAGGGCTGAAAACGCCAGCATTTAGAGGGCTGTTCGGCTGGCGTTTTCAACCGCTCAGGCTCGGAGTAGATCCGCTTATATCGAGCCTTGATAACCTCTCAGACGGTTATCACGGAAGGTTCCGCGGTGGTCGGTTTACTGTAGCGTTTCCCGAGCCTGCGAAATTAACGCCTGCCGAACTGGGCCTAGGCAGGCTACCGAACAAAGCCTTACTTTCAAGGAAAACGCTGCCTGCAGTACCTGTGTGGCAGCTCCGAATGGCCTGTTCCTCAGCCTCAGTGGCAGTCTCGATTCTGCGAGGACTGGGCAAGTTGAAATCCACAAACCACTCCCAACTGCGAGCGTGGTGTGTTGAATACCGACGTATACCGTACTGAACAGTTCTGGCATGTTGGGTCACACCAATGCGTATCACACAATTGCAGTTCCTAGCCACTATTGGGCGATGCTCCCCCTCTAATGTTACTCGCAGGTAATTAAAGTTCTAAATACATCGTTATCTGGCAAGAATAAGAGAGCCTCCTTGTATTGTGCCAGCAAGCGTCTGCCTTTTTCTCTATGCGTCGGCAAGCTATTCCTTTCTGATTAAAGCGCCACTGAGTGGTGGTAGCGGCGTATGTGCTTTCCACCGCCATTGTTCTGACATGCGGCCTTACGGCGAATGACCGCGGATTGATCGGAGTAAATCCTGGCCGACCGTGCCACGACATATGCCGCCCCCCTGGTCATTCCCCACGCAGCCAATGCCGTCGTTCGGCGTGTTCCTCGCCGCGTTTCTCGCAGCAGGGTTGCTAGGAACTCTCGTGTTCGGACCGTTAAGCGAAATCCCACACGCGCCGTTGAACGAATTCCCGTCACGCCATGGGGGGATCACTTTTGAGGCGACTCGAAAGCAGTCTCCGCCGGAACATGGAGGCGCGATCATGTTTGGAGCGATCAAGTCGGCGATTAGGAGAATCGCGGAACCGCTAACCTCCCCAAGGTAATTCGTGTCTCCAGGTGGTCTCTTAGGAGCCTAAAAATCAACCTTCCAGCTTCCTCAAGAATGCCCTCCCCACCTTTCCACCCCCCTCCTCCCCCCCCCCCCCCCCCCACCCTCCCTCCCTTTCCTTTCCTCTGTTGGGTGGGAGGAGCAGCAGAGATAGTTTCCAAGGCGCCTCACAAACAACTCTTTTCCCTTCCCTAGTTCCTCTCCTCCCCTTGTGCATTCCTTTGTCCCTCCATCTTTCCTCAACCCCTCTCTTTCTTACTTTGACCCCCCTCTCCCTGTATTTTCATATGTCTCGCCCTTCTCTTCCCCATTCGCCCCCCTCCCCTGGTCCTTTCTTTCTCTTCTTCCACCCAGCCCCGCCCCAACCCCCCTCCAACATCCTCCTTACATTGCTGGGAAAGGTGGATATCGCAGCAAAGAGTAATTTCCGAGGCCAACCCTTCAAATCCCCCTCCCGCGCATTTCAGAATCCGCGCTTATTCGTCCCTTCCTTACAATGCCGGTAAAGACGAGAGGAGCAGAGAGTATTTCAAAGTCTCTCCTCACAATTACGCCCCCGATTTCTCTCCCCCTTCCTCTCCTCCTCCCACCCCCTTCCCAATATTCCGCTCGCATCCTTCCTCACATTGCCGGGAAAGGGTGGAGGAAAAGCAGAGATGCTTAGACGAGCTACAGAGACTAAGGAAATGGCAAGAAGGTGAGCAGGCAGCAGGGTATAAAGGGTTCTGGGTTCAGACTTTAGGGTTTCTCAGTCGTTTCCATTTGGTTCTGTATTCTCCCCCTCCTCGTCGGGCTTCTATTCCTTCTTCTGTTCTTCCTTCTGTTTGCCTTGATACCTGTTCACCACCTATGTAAGCATCCATCCACATGTATCAAATGCATTTCACCGCCATTTTCAGAGCTGGGAGCTGACGCAGCATCAACTGCCAGCTCAGCTGCGCAATCTTTTCCCTCCAAGTCACCTGCCACGTCAGCCTCCGCTACCACCACCATTACCACCACTGGCACCACATCTTCCACGAACCTGCCATTACTCCATTCTTCCAGCTCAGAGATTCGAACTCCGACCTCCAATGCTCAACATGCCCAGCTGTTGCCATGGTCTGCCAGTGCCGCTGCTGCAATACATAGAGGGCCGGAGCTGCCACTGCTGAGTGCACGGTTGCATGCACAGGGGCGTGAGTTGGGCGATTTGCATGCTGCCATTCGTTCCCTGCTCACTGTAGACGAGAGGAGAACAGAACAAGAACTTACCATCAGCAGCACCAGCGGCAGTGGTAGCGGTGGCAGTGGCAGCGGTGGCGGTGGCAGCGGTGGCAGCGGCAGCAGTGGCAACAGCGGCAGCGGCGGCGGCGGCGGCAGCAGAAGAAGAAGCATGCAGAGGCATCTCGATGCACCTCCAGCAACAACAACCCCAGCATCTGCGTCAGCTGCAGCAGGAGAACCAGCCTCAGTGCGCCGAATGCTGAGTCACACGTACAGAACTCCCAACCTCAACCCGAATGCCGCCTGCGCCGAGAATGAGACGAGCGTTGCTGCCCTCAGGGCCCACCTGGCCGCCAAGGCAGTGCAGCTTCGGGCGACTCAAGTGCAGATCGAGGAGATGCAGGTGAGTGGAACCCCTTAAATCGTTTGAATCTCTTTGAGTCCCTTCGAATCCTTCAAAACCTTACAGCAAACTCTCAACCCTGATCCAAGACCGTCTAGCGGCCAAGGCGGTGCAGCTGAGGGCCACTCAAGTGCAGATCGAGGAGATGCAGGTGAGTGTAACCCCTTAAACCGTTTGAATCCCTTTGAATCCCTCAAAACCTTACACCAAACTCTCAGCCCTGATCCAAGACCGTTTAGCGGCCAAAGCGGTGCAGAGGGCGACTCAAGTGCAGGTTAACGAAATGCAGGGGAGGTGCGCAGGTGGGAGGTGCACAGGTGGGAGGTGCACAGGTGGGAGGTGCACAGGTGGGAGGTGCACAGGTGGGAGGTGCACAGGTGGGAGGTGCACAGGTGGGAGGTGCACAGGTGGGAGGTGCACAGGTGGGAGGTGCACAGGTGTGAGGTGCACAGGTGTGAGGTGCACAGGTGTGAGGTGCACAGGTGTGAGGCGCACAGGTGTGAGGTGCGGTGCAGAGGGGAGTCTGGGAGGTGCACAGCACAGCACAGGGGAGGTCCCACTCATCTCGTGATCCTCGAAACGTAATTTCATCGGGTTTCTCACGGGCCGCTATGCTCTCCGTGCGTCCATGCTATTGACACACGACAGCACACTGTGAGACGAGTGAACCACCTGAATTTTCTGTTACCCCATGTGACTGCAGCGCACCGTGGGCCGAGTCAACTATCAGAAGTTTCTGCTAGACTATGCTCTCTCAGAGACCACTGTTGACTGGAACGACCGCCTGCTGCCCCCACAGGTGAGTTGTTGGTTGGTGGGGCATGTGGGGCCATATGGGTGCGGTGGGGCATGAGCTGTATGCGTGTGGTGCCGGCTCTTCTGCTGGACTATGCTCTCTCAGAGACCACTGTTGACTGGGACGACCGCCTGCTGCCAACACAGGTATGTTGAGCACAGCACAGGTGAATCATGGGGCATGGGGCATGGGGCATGGGGCATGGGGCATGGGTCATGGGGCATGGGTCATGGGGCATGGGGCATGGGGCATGGGTCATGGGGCATGGGGCATGGGCATGGGTCATGGGGCATGGGGCATGGGGCATGGGGCGTGGGGCATGGGGCATGGTGCATGGGGCGTGGGGCATGTGGCATGGTGCATGTGGCATGGGGCATGGGTCATGGGGCATGGGGCATGTGGCATGTGGCATGGGGCATGGGGCATGGTGCATGGGGGATGGGGCAAGGGGCATGGGGCAAGGGGTAAGGGGCATGGGGCATGGGGCATGGGACATGGGGCAAGGGGCAAGGGGCAAGGGGCATGGGGCATGGGGCATGGGACATGGTGCCTGATGCTATGCTTTCTTTCTGTGACTTCCAACTTCCAAGTGACTGCCATTGACTTTTGATTGACTTAGGTTGACTTGTACAGTTCAGGTGCTCATTTCCTTGTCTGCACTGCATTCTCTGTATTATGGTGGTGTGCTGTGATTTTGTTTGTGGTGTTATGCTATTCAATGTGGTGGTGATGCGCTGTCTGGTGTGGTGTGGTGTGGTGTGGTGTGGTGTGGTGTGGTGTGGTGTGGTGTGGTGTGGTGTGGTGTGGTGTAATGTGGTGTGGTTTGGTGTCATGGTACATGTGGTTTGATGCGGTGCTGTGCGGTGTGATTGGCTGTTACAGAGGATGGAGGATGCGCGTCGTGCAATAAACACCTGCACTGCCAATGGCGTTGTTGTCACGACAAAGAAATTACAACTCTGGAAGGTGGGTATTATTCAGTATTGCCACTGTGGAAGGTGGGTATTGCTCATTATTGCCCCTATAGAAGATGGAAGTTGCTCTTTATTGCTCTCCTCACTCCTCTCTCCACTCTCCTCTTTCTTCTCTCATCTCGCCTCTCTTCCCTCTGCTCAATCCGCCTCACCTCTTCCTTAGCACACAGGGCTGTGCATGCGACACAATGGACAACAAGATCTTAATTTTCTCATGAACAATACAGAAACAGGCTGTTCCTCTCTTCTTTCCTCTCTCTACTCTTGACTCTCCCTCTACCCTCTCCTCTCTCCTTTCTCCTCCCTCCTATCCGGCCCTACTGTCTCCTCTGTCCCCCCTCTCCCCTTCCCCCCACAGGGCTATGCATGCGACGCATCGGACGATGACATCTACTCATTCCTAGAGTACGACCCAAACCGACTCTGCCCAGATGACTGGTTGGCGACCCAGGCGCTCGTACTCACTCCTCTCTCCCTCTCCTCTCCTCTCCTCTTGTCCCCTCCTTCTCATCCCCTCCTCACAGGGCTATGCATTCGACGCATCAGATGATGACATCTACTCATTTCTCGAGTACGACCCAAACCGGCTGTGCCCCGATGACTGGTTGGCGACCCAGGTGCTCATACTCACCCCTCTCTCCCTCTCCTCTCTCCCTCTCCTCTCTCCCCTCAACCCCCCTCATAGGGCTATGCATGCGATGCATCGGACGATGCCATTTATTCATTTCTTGAGTACGATCCGAACCGGCTGCGCCCCTCCCCCTGCACTCTCCTCTCTCCTCTCTCCAATGTCCTCTCCCCTTCTTCTCCCCTCACAGGGCTGTGCATGTGATGCATCAGATGATGACATCTACTCCTTTCTCGAGTACGACCCAAACCGGCTGTGCCCCTCCCGCTGCACTCTCCACTCTCCTCTCCCCCTCACAGGGCTATGCATGCGACGCATCGGACGATGACATCTACTCATTCCTCGAGTACGATCCCAACCGGCTGTGCCCCGATGACTGGATGGCAACCCAGGCGCTCATATTCACCCACAACTGCTTCGCGCTGCCCAAGCGCCGCTGCATGGCGCGCACCAACCAGAGATGGACCGAGGTGCGTTGAATCTGGACTGGATGGCAACCCAGGCGCTCATATTCACCCACAACTGCTTCGCGCTGCCCAAGCGTCGCTGCATGGCCCGCCCGCACCAACCAGAGGTGGACTGAGGTATGCTGAACCTGGACCGAGATACGTTGAAATTAGTCCGTCTTAACCGAGGTACGTTGAATCTGGACTGGTTGACGACCCAGGCGCTCATATGCACCACTGCTTCACCCAGGCGCCGCTGCATGGCCTGCACCAATCAGAGATGGACCGAGGTACCTTGAATCTAGACCGGGTATCGTCAATCTGGACTGGGTATCGTCAATCTGGACCGGGTATCAACAATCTGGACTGGCCGCAATACAATCTCTTCTCACCACCCTCCTCTCACCTTGCTCGCCCACTCCACCCACCAGCCGCTGCCCTTCCCAGCAGCACTGTTCACCCAGGGCGCACTAAAGGACGAGAACGTGCGGTGGAGCCTGCATTCATGCGATTCGTTCACATGCCTCAACACGCGTGCGGTGGGCGACAATCTGGCTTTTTGGAAACTCCCTCTCCCCCCCAACCGCCTTCTTGCCCCAGCCGCTGCCCTTCCCAGCAGCACTGTTCACCTAAAGCGCACTAAAGGACGAGAACGTGCGGTGGAGCCTGCATTCATGCGATTCGTTCACATGCCTCTGATAGAATTGGAACTGAACTGATTGCTTGATAAGGAAGGCACTAGGCCTTAAGTACAAACAGGGTTGGGTTGAGCAAAGCTAGGGAAAGGATGGGATGGGAATCCTAGCAAATCTCCAATTGGTGAGTTGGCAGATTTGCAGGATTACGAGGGAATCCCAACCAGATAGGGTTGGGATTACAAATCTACACCCAACCTACAAAGTAACCTAACCGATATAGAATATAGTACAAAGTGTTGACTGACTATTTCTAACACACCCCCTAGGCTGACAACACTTCAGCCACATGGTGGCCCAACACCCATGGACGAGAGAAGGCGGTAGTGGTCTTGGCGAACAAGAGACTTGGTAAACAAGTCAGCAAGGTTGCAGTCGGAGGCAATGTGTTCAGCCTTCAGCTGCTCGCGCTGCACCAGCTCACGAAGAAAGTAGTGACGGACCTCAATGTGCTTGGTGCGGCCGTGGAAGACGGGGTCCTTTGTGAGATGAATGGTGCTCTCGTTGTCACACCAAAGCGTTGGGGCTGGTTGAGGATACCCAAGTTCTGCCAGCAAGAAGGAGAGCCAACGGGCCTCTTGGGCAGCCATGGTCCCGGCATACAGCTCTGCCTCACAGGTCGACAGTGAGACGGAAGACGACCGAGTGGAGCGCCAACTGACAAAACCACTGCCAAGGGTAAAGCAATATCCTTGGGAAGAGCACCGATCACTCTGGTCATCAGCATAGGACGAGTCACTATACCCCTCAAGGCGAACAGGGGAAGAGCCGCCAAGAGTGAGCGCATAGTCCGGTGTGCCTTTGAGATAGCGGAGGACCCGCTTGGCGGCAGACCAGTGGTGGCTCGTGAAGCGACCAGGTGCAACGTAGCGAGACAGGACACTGACTGGATAGGCCAAATCTGGTCGAGTGCAGATCATCGCGTACATGAGGGAACCGACGAGCTCGGGGTAAGCCTCATCGTAGGGCTCAGGTGAGGGAACAGAGAGTGCAGTGAGTTGGTGCTGCAGAGAGAGTCAATCTCAATCAACTCCTCATGTCTGTCCTCAAGAAGGGAGGGCATGAGCGAATAATCACCCCCGACTGGAGGAGGATTGAGAGAGACACGAATGGAAAGGGAAAGAGGCTTGGGAGCTTTGCGCGAGCGGGTGCGACCAGCGATGGGGGAGGGAGGCGGAGCTGGAGGGGGAGAAGCAGCAGGTGTAGTGGCAGCATCAGGAACAGCAGCTGGATCAGGAGTAGGAGCTGGATCAGGAGGAGGAGCTGGATCAGGAGGAGGAGCAGCAGCAGGAGGACGGCGTTGGTAGGTTTTGAGAGGAATGGGCTCGGGGGCGGGAAGGAGCGGGGGAGACTGGGTGGTGCTGGAAGGGGAATCGGGTGACGGGGGGTCGGAAACTGTGGAGGGAGCAGGAAGAGGAGGAGATGGAGTGGTGGCAGGAGGAAGGCTGTCAAAGTCAGCCCAAGTAAGAGAAGGAGGCGGAGGAGAAGGAGAAACTGTGGAGGAGGGGTAGAACAGGTGGGATTCATCGAAGAAAACATCTCGGCTGCGATAAAGTTTGTTGGTGGTAGGATGGAGAAAGAGGTAGTCTGGCGAGTCCGAGTTGTGCCCGAGGTACACGCACGTGATTGTTTTCGGAGCAAGCTTGCCGCCAGCTGCACGACGGGCTTGGGAGTTGAGGAGAACATAGGAAGTGCACCCCCATACACGAAGAGGGCGGACGGACGGCTTTTGACCCGTCCACAGCTCTGCGGGGGTGGTGTGGGTGTGGTGAGGATGAGGATGGAGATTGTGGAGGGCGGCAGCATGGAGCATGGCGTATCCCCAAAGAGAGGGAGGGGCGGAAGCATGAGTGAGGAGGCAGCGAGCAATCTGCACCAGGATGCGGTTTCGGCTCTCAGCAACACCGTTCCTGTTGAGGGCTGTCTGGGAGGGTGAAGGTCTGACGAATACCCTCAGTAGAGCAGAAAGCTTTGAGAGTGTTGTTGCGGAATTCACCGCCACCGTCAGAGTGAAGAATCTTGATTTTGGTTTTGAAGTGTGAATGAGCCTGCCTTGCCCATTCCATGATAATGGCTGGGGCTTCAGACTTGGCGGTGAGAAGGTGAACGGACACATAGCGGGAATAGTCATCAACGATGACAAGGAAGTAGAAGTGTCCGCCACGGGAACGAACAGGAGCTGGACCCCAAAGGTCCATGTGTACGCGATCAAGAGGTGCGGTAGAGGTGGACTCAGTGGGAGGATGGGGCTGTTCCCGAAGCTTGCTCTGTGCACAGTCAAGGCAAGGTGGTCCAGAAAGAGAGGGGGGTTGTGGAAGTGAGGCGGGCAGCCCATGAAGGAGTTGTTTGGTGGCAAGGTCTGAAAGTGCGCGGAAGTTGATGTGGCCGAGGCGGTTATGAAATAGCATAGTCTTGTCATTGAGGAGGCGGCAGTGACATGAGGGGGAGTCTGAGGATGGAAGCGGAAGGTTGGTGAGGGAGCATGTTTGAACGGGAGGTACAACTAGTGTGTACAGGTTGTTGGAGTTGAGGGTGAAGCGGGCAAGATGGAGTCCGGTTTTGGCGTCAAACATGTCACAGTAGTCAACATCATTGGGAAAGATGGTGATCACGCCTGCGTGTTGGATTTCCCGCTGTGCAAGAAGGTTGTAGCGGAGGGTAGGGGCACAGATGCCAGTGACTGTGCCGGATGGGAAAGCTGGACAGGAAACTGTGGAGGACCCATGGCATTGGATGGAGAAGCTAGAATCGGCTCCAAGGAGTGAGGTTGGAGCCTGGTAGGGAACGAAGGCAGTTTGGTCTTTAAGCACTGTGTGGGTGGCACCACTGTCTAGTATGAACTCAATTCCCTCTGTGGTTGAAACACCGATGTACTGCGACCCCTTCTCATTAAGAAGACCAGCACCAGAGAACCACAGGTTAAGGCGAACATCAGATGGGGCACTAGCAAATGCCTGAGCAGGTTCCTCCACTGCCTCGACCTGGTTCACGCGACGGGGTGGTGCCCAGTTGGGAGGGCGCTTGTCCTTGGAGACACCGTGGACGTCATACCACTCGTCATCTCGCTTCTTGAAGCAATTTGCCTTAGGGTGGTTGGTGCCGTTGCATTTCTGCCCCGCACGTGGACCCTTCCTAATGAGGTACTGGCATGGGGGAAAGGAGTTGCGCCTCTGGCCCTGCTGGGAACGAAATGGGATGCCAGGGGAGTAGCGCACAGCATTGACGGATGCCTGGGCTGCAAGGTCCTTTTCGGCAGAGAGAAGGGCCGAAGCGACTTTCTCGAAGGTGAGTTCCTTGGTGGGGAGCTGCTTGAGCATGGAACTGGTGACGTTGTAGGCCGGGGTGAGTCCGACGAGAAGCCCAGCAGCAGGTGCCTGTTCGGGGAAGGTGATCCCAATATCCTTGAGCTCCTCATGGCTGTTGCGGATTTCAGAGATGTAGTCTGCCATGCCCGGGCATTCCTCAAGGCGGATTTGGAACATGCGAGGAATGAGGATTGCAACTCCCACGGCAGTTTTGTCATGAAAGCGATCCTGGAGGTACTTCCAAATGTCATGCGCAGAGCGGAAGGTGCGGTAGGACTTTACTAACTCGACTGGGGTGGTGGTGATGAAAACCCTAATCACTGCCGCATCCGCCTGCTCCCAGAGACTGAAGTCCGTCTCATACTTGGTGGTTTTAGCGTCGAAAGCAAGCTTGGCTGTGGCAGTGGCGCCTTCGCCGAGAGGATCGGGAGGGAGAGGCATCTTCCCCTTGCCGCGATTGAGGAGGATGTCCTTGAGGCAAATCCCCTTGAGCTCCGAGCTAAGGAGGTGCTTCTCCACTCCATAGCACCACTCCCCGAAATTGGTGCTCGTGCCGTTGGGAGCGAGGTTAAGGATGATGAGGTTTCCGACGAGAGTGGAAGTTGAAGTTGCAATTTCGCGCGGAGCGCAGCGCTTAAGTCTTCGATACGTAGCGGAGCGGAGTTCGGGTGATTTTGGAAATTGAGGAAGTTCGAAACGCGATTTTGGCAATAGAATGCCCGTACTATACCCTGATATACTGCTTCGCCAATGCCCCCTGTTCTGCTTCGCTGCTGCCCCTGTTCCGCTTCTCTGCTGCGCCGCTGACCTGTTCTGCTGCGCCGCTGACCTGTTCTGCTGCGCCGCTGGACCTGTTCTGCTGCGCCGCTGAACCTGTTCCGCTGCGCCGCTGAACCTGTTCCGCTGCGCCGCTGAACCTGTTCCGCTGCGCCGCTGAAAACCTGTTCCGCTGCGCCGCTGGACCTATTCCGCTGCGCCGCTGAAAACCTGTTCCGCTGCGCCGCTGGACCTGTTCCGCTGCGCCGCTGAAAACCTGTTCCGCTGCGCCGCTGGACCTGTTCCGCTGCGCCGCTGAAAACCTGTTCGAAGTTAAGAAGATGCGAAAATTGCCACGGAGATATAAAAACCAGAAGCTTACGATGAAGGAAGTCGAAAGCTGAGAATATCGCCGTTGAAAAACGAGATGCGCGATGAAGGAAGCCGAATGCGCGCTTGATCGGAGCGACGATGTGAAGTTTCTGAAAAACGCTAACCGTAGGAGCCGGGAACCGAAATAGGCATAGCCTAAAAGGAGAGAACCATCGGGACGCCAAGGATCGGATTCCGCGTGAGCGGAATTTACTAGCTCGATACCATGATAGAATTGGAACTGAACTGATTGCTTGATAAGGAAGGCACTAGGCCTTAAGTACAAACAGGGTTGGGTTGAGCAAAGCTAGGGAAAGGATGGGATGGGAATCCTAGCAAATCTCCAATTGGTGAGTTGGCAGATTTGCAGGATTACGAGGGAATCCCAACCAGATAGGGTTGGGATTACAAATCTACACCCAATCTACAAAGTAACCTAACCGATATAGAATATAGTACAAAGTGTTGACTGACTATTTCTAACAGCCTCAACACGCGTGTAGTGGGGTGGGGACTGACTGACCGCCTTTCTAATATCTTCCACTCCCCCAACCACCTTCTTGCCCCCCTTCCCCCTCCCAGCCCCTGCCCTTCCCAGCAGCTCTCTTCACGCAATCTGCACTAAAGGACGAGAACGTGCGGTGGAGCCTGCATTCTTGCAAATCCTTTACGTGCCTCAACACGCGTGTGGTGGGGGACTGTCGCAACTGCTTCAACCTCACTCTGGAGAAGAACCGATGGCAGCGCGGATTCAGAGGCTCTCTGCCCATCGCTTATGTCATCAAGCTGAAACGGGGATCGTTGAGGTGAGAGGAAGGAGGGTGGGTCGACTGCTCTCAGAAGCTGCCCTGGCCTTGTATGGGGTGGTGGGGGACTGCCGCAACTGCTTCAACCTCACGCTCGAGAAGAACTGATGGCAGCGCGGGTTCCGAGGGTCGCTGCCCATTCCCGTTTTCATCAAGATGAAACGGGGGTCATTTAGGTGAGAGGAGGGTGGGTGGGGTGGGTATGACCGCCCAAAAGCTGGGGCAGAAGCGATAGCAGCGCGGGTTCAGAGGGTCTCTGCCTATTCCCGTTGTCATCAAGATGAAACGGGGGTCATTGAGGTGAGGAGAGGGGAGGAAAATGCCTTTTGAGTCGACTCAAAAGTCACCGGAGAGGGGAGGTAAGTGCTCACAAGCTGGAGCAGAAGAGTTAGTAGATGGCAGCGTGGGTTCCGAGGGTCTCTGCCCATTCCCTTAGTCATCAACTTGAAGCGAGGGTCCCTGAGGCGGGAGCGATGAGAGAAGGCTTGAAGCGAGGGTCCCTGACCTAAGGTGGGAGCGATGAGAGAAGACTTGAAGCGAGGGTCCTCGATATAAGAATGGGTTTTTGAGTTGACTCAAAACTCTGCCGATTTCGGACGTCATCCACTCGAAGCGCGAGTCATTGAGGTGAGAGGAGGGAGGGTGGGTCGACTGTTACAGGCTTGGGTAGTTAGAGTTGAGAGGAGGTGGGTCGACTGTGGGCGAAATTTATTCCGGTTGTATGTGTCGATGTATAAGTCGACTGAAGAACCCGGCTGTGCCTGTCTATTGAACCCTTGTTGACTTAACCGAATGTTCAGGTCTTCTCTCAGAGCTCTCCATGCATCCAATCATGGCCTCGATAACCGAATTCGACTCCATGCGTATGCCAGCCAACCACTGCTCATGCAAAAACGGCGTTTTTGAGACGTCTCAAAGACTCCATGCGTATGCCAGCCAAGCCAACCACTGCTCATGCTCGTCTGCTCGTGCCTGTTCCCGAACCTGCAGGCTCGGGCTAGACGCGGGCGGAGGCACGGGGACGTTTGCAGCGCACATGGCGCTATACAACGTGACGATTCTCACGACAGCCATGAATGTGGAGACAGTGGCAGGGCGCACAGGCGGACTGCCTTACATGGAGACCCTCGCTCACCGGGGGCTCATCCCCCTCTGGTTACCACACAAGGTAGTGTGCTAATATACCACACAAGGTACTGTGCGAGTGGTTACCACACAAGGTACTGTGCAAGTGGTTACCACACAAGGCAGTGTGTTAATGGTTACCGCACGGCACTGTGAGTGGTTTGCAGTACAGATAGCACTTTCCAATGTGGCAAATGGATTGAGGTAAATTGCTTCTCTTCCAGCCAAGCATCTATTCGTTTGCTTTTGAGAGCTAAGCACAAGCACGTGGCTTTTTACAAGTGCCAAAACAAAAGACAAAGTTGATGACACTGCATGGACTCCCTTTGGAAACACGCTAGAGCTCGTGCATTGCTTGTTCGCTCTCCCCACTCCTTGACTCGTGCATTGCTTGCTCGCTCTCCCCACTCGACTCGTGCATTGCTTGCTCGCTCTCCCCACTCCTTGACTCGTGCATTGCTTGCTTGCTCTCCCCACTCCTTGATCGTGCACGCATGCTTGCCTCTCTCTGAGAGCACGCTAGAGCTCGTGCATTGCGTCAACAGCAACAAGTACCTCCCTGTGTTGACACTTCACATGTGCTCTCGATTCCTCTCCCTTTTCCCCCCTCCCCCCTCCCCTTGGACTCCCTTTGACAACACGCTAGAGCTCGTGCACTGCGTCAACAGCATCAGTCATCTCATCTTACTACATTGACACGTGCTTTCTCCCTCTTTCCCTCCCCCACCCTGTTTTCCCCACACAGGCATGCTTGCCGCTCTTTGACAGCACTCTAGATGTCGAGCACTGTGTCAACAGCATCAAGTATATCTCCCTGTGTTGACACATGCTCTCTTCCTCTCCCCCCCTGCCCACCTCTTCCCCCATACAGGCACGCTTGCCCCTCTTTGACAACACACTAGTCCTGGTGCACTGCGTCAACAGCATCAAGTATCTCCCCGTGTTGACACGTGCAGTCTGTCTACATCATCCAGTATCCCCTTGCATTGTCTCCCCACCCCTTCCCTCGCACAGGCACGCTTGCCCCTCTTTGACAACACACTAGATCTCGTGCACTGCGTCAACAGCATCAAGTACCTCCCGGTGTTGGAATTCGAGGAGCTCATCTTCGAATGGGACAGGGTTCTGCGAGTCGGTGAGTGGGAGACGTACCATGTTTCGTTTCCTCTCTGGTTTTGTTTGTCTGTCTGATTTTTTTTCCCATGTACTGCTCTTACCACTATCTCAAGTTGAGTCTCAAGGAAACCCCGTGTCATGGCTATGGTGGGTTTGCATGTTTTGGTCTTGTTATGCACACCAAGTATTATACTTGCATATACTGGTTACGAGAGTGTTTGTTACAAGAGACTGTCACGCGTCATGCGTTTCACATCCCGTGTCATCTTCACTCCCTTTTCATGTAAAACTCCCCCCGTTTCACCGAAGGTTCTTTTCCCTGCCTTTGTTTGGGATTTCAAGCCTAGTATATACTGAAGTATAGCATCCATTGTTGTGTCGTGTCGTCCACTTGCCAACCCAATCTCATTGTACCGCAGGTGGAGTCATGTGGTTGGAGATGTTCTACGCGCCTCTTGATGAAATGCCACTCTATATCGCAATCATCGAGCAGCTACAGTACAAGAAGCTACACTGGAACATTACGCCTAAGCCCGACAGTGGCGAGCGGAAGGGCATGCACGTTTATTTGAACTGTGTTATCGAGAAACCCTTGCGTCGAGACAGATAAGGCTGTCAAGCCAATTCTTTTGTGCAGAACTTTCCTTGTACACTGTTTTTTTTTTTTTTTTTTTTTTTTTGGTAAAAAGTTGTGCAGTGTTAGGGTACATTCCTGCGGGGACACTTGTGTCTCAATCCCCGATTTCCCGAGTCGCGCCTGTAAATTTGCCAAATGTTGTGTCACAAACAACCAATGTATCGCGACTCTAGGCGACCAGGCGAGATGTACAGTTGTGCGCATTTGTTTGGGTGACACAAATGACTGTACATCCCTTTTTTCAACCGCTTGGTTGGGGTGTGGTTTCGACGAGCGGGATTTTTTCCCGCACGAAATTGGCATTGCAGGCTGTCCAGGTGCATTGACATTTCGAGCAGCATGCGAATTTTTCACATTGACGAGTCAGATTACAATTCGTCAGCGACGTCAGCGCGTTTCACGCTGACCAATAAAAAATACAGTAATGGTCGCGGAAATGCGACTCGCAATTGGGACACACTACAGTTTATGCTGTTTGTGTGTGTCACAAAGCGATTGAGACATTTGTGTCTCCACAGGAATGTACCCTTAGTCTTCTGCATACACATGTTCTTGCCTAACGTGTACACCAGTGGGCATCAATGGACAGTGTCAAACTAACGAACGAGAATGGATGAACTCTGAAAGAGTTGGGTATAAAAACTAACCCTAATTGGGTTGTACCCCTTATGGGCTACCCTACTATAGCCTACACAAAGTAAGCAATATGACATTTTGACACACCCCCACAGGCAAGGTGGGGGAGAACAAGCGGCCACAAGACCAGTCAAGAAAAGCAAAGCAAGCTCAGGGTGGATCACGAAGTCACCACACATTCCAAGCACAAGCAAATGGCCACAAGGCTTGTTCACATGCAGAGTCATGTAAAAGAGAACAAACAGTACAGTGATCATACCCTAGCAAGTATAAGCATGCAGATATATGTATAGATCACACTACAAGCAAAGTCACGCAGTGAGCAAGTGAGGCAAAGTAGGTACAATGCCTAAAACAGTACGTACAGAAACGTTGATGATCACCAGACTGAAGTGCCTTGACGAATATATCAGCAGTGTTGGCTCGAGTGGCCACGTAAGCAAGACGAAGCTGACCACGCTGCTGCAACTCTCGAGCAAGGAAGTAACGCAGAGCGATGTGCTTCGTTCTGTGCTCCAGTCTGTGCTCCTGACATAAGGCAATCATGGCCTTGTTGTCTACGTACAGCACTGGAGAAGAACGAGGCTACTCTCCCAAGTCGGTCAGCAGGTAGGTGAGCCATCGTAACTCCTGTGCAGCCAAGGCCCCTGCGTAGATCTCAGACTCACAACTGGAACTGAGAACAGAAGACGAGCGGGTAGACCGCCAAGAAACAGAGCCGGAGCCAAGGCTGAGAATGTAACCCTGTGACGACCGCTGCGTAGCCAAGTCGTCAACCCAAGAAGCGTCTGCGTGTCCAATGAGGACAACTGGACCCCGTCCTCCAAGCACAAGCCCCATGCCCGACGTACTGCACAAGTAGCGCAACACCCTCTTAGCGGCCTCCCAGTGCTCTGGTCGGTGTCTCCCAGGCGCAACGTAGCGTGCCAGGATGCTAAGAGGGTAGGCTAGGTCATGTCGTGTGCACGTCATCAGGTACATGAGGCAACCCACAAGCTCTGGATACGGACCACTCGGCTCTACAGACTCGTCCTAAGGTGGAGCTGAGAGCAAGTGGCCAGTAGGCAGAGGAGTGGGCTGTGGCGAAGAGTACTGGAAGCCGAAGCGCTGAAGGACCTGGTGCACCATGTGTGACTGAGTCAGGGTGATGGTGCGCCGTGCTCTGTCCTGGGTGATCTGCAAGCCAAGATAGCTGCGCAACTCACCCAAGTCAGTGCAGGTGTGTCTCTTCTGCAGCTCCGACTTCACAAGGGCCAGTGCCTTAGTGTCAGCAGTGGCAAAAACTAAGTCGTCCATGTACACGAGGACGTAGAACGGCGGCAGCGAAGTGTCGGTGCGTAGAAACAGCGACGGGTCAGCAGTAGAAGGAGCAAACCCAAGAGCCGCAAGCGTCGTCCTCAGTGTGTCGTGCCACTCGCGAGGCGCCTGGCGAAGACCGTAGACTGGCCGCCGAAGGCTCCACTAGGTACCTGCAGGAAACGACCCAGTGAAGCGAGTTGGGCGGCGCGGCCAGATCTCCTCGTACACGCTGCCCTACAAGAAAGCTGTGCTGAAGTCAAGAGAGTGCAACTCGTAGTCACGCTGAGCTGCGACGTGCAGCAACACCCGAAGAGTGGTCATCTTCGGGGTAGGGGAGAAGGTCTGGAAGAAGTCAACTCCCTGTCGCTGACTGAAGCCTCCTGCACCGTAACGAGCCTTGAAGACAGGCGGAGAACCCAACGGTCGCTTCACCCTGAAAATCCACATGCCATCGACTATGTTCGCCTAAGAAGGGGGAACTGCGTCAACGTAGGTGCCTGTGGACTTCCAGGATGCCATCTTTGCGTCCATGGCTATCTGCCACTGAGAGGAGTAGGGACCCGTAATCGCCTCTGCGTAAGAGCGCGGGGTCGGGATGTCTGGTCCATCCGGGTCTCCCTCAGGTGCAAGCAGCATGGCCACGAGATGAGGTACAGCAGCTGCCAGGCACTCAAAGTCCTCCTGCCAGTCCTCAAGGACGTCTGTGCCACGAGCACACTCACCCCCAACGGACGGAGGACAGTCAGACTCAGACTCAGCAACAAGACTAGTGGCGTAGTCGAGACGACAGGCAACAACCAAGGAAACCCTATACCACACAATTCCCCTCTCTATAGGCACCCCAACTTTGACATTTGTCACTTTCTCAACTCATGTCATCCACCTCACCCAACTTGGCCACACTTGCCAACCTGGTTTGGGTTCTCCCAACCACTTGGCATCATCTAGCAGTGATGGTGACGAATTTCCCAACCCCCAAAATTCTTTACCCCATATTGAGTCAACCCGCAAATTCCCATAGTTGCTGCATCACAATAAAAAACTTCGAACGATCATATCTTTCTTGTTCTTGCTTCGATCGCGACGATTCTTGATTCGTCGGAAAGCTATTGAGTAGAGAAGTCACTTCAGAAATCTGCCCAAGCCAAATAACATTCACACACACTCAGAAAATCCAAACCATGCCAAACACAAATTCTTACGCACGCACACACCACGCATGCAACGCACGGACATATGATAGGAGGCAGACAGACGTGAATGCAAATGATAGCATCACATAACAACTCCTCCGAGTTTCCTCCGACCAATGCTCCTCTACAGACTCTCCACATGGACGTGTGAGGCCCAGCCCGCGTGAGTGGGATGGACCAGGAGCGCTACTTCCTGCTGGTCATTGACGACTACTCGCGCTACACCACGGTCTTCCCCTTGCGCATCAAGGCGGACGTCATTGGTGGTTTGATCCCCTGCATCCGCGCTGCTTGTCTCCAGCTGCGCGAGCGGTTTCGGCGGGACCTTCCAGTCCTGCGTCTGCACTCTGACAGGGGCGGGGAGTTCTCTTCTGGCCTCCTTGCGGAGTTCTGTCGAGACCAGAGCATCTACCAAACGTTCACGCTTCCTGCCTCTCTACAGCATAATGTGATTGCATAGCGCCGCATTGGCTTGGTGATGGAGGTTGCTCGCACCTCCATCATGCATGCGGCTGCTCTCCATTTTCTATGATCATTTGCGGTCCGATACGCCGCGCTTCAGCTCAACCTCTGGCCCCGTGTCTCTTTGCCAGAGTCTTCGCCCACACTCCATCGGACGTGAGAGGTTGGCGATGCGTCGGCGTTTTGGGTCTGGGGCGCGCTCTCACTTGTTCGCAATACCACCGTGAGCAAGCTCTCTCCTCGCACTCTCCGATGCGCCTTCCTTGGCTTCCCCACCGACGCCCCGCCATGGCAGTTTTACTACCCTCGCTCGCATTGCGTGTTCTCCTCCCAGGACGTCATCTTTGACGATTCGGTTTGTTTCTACAGGCTCCACTCGCACGCGTCCCACCCGGTCCCCCTGGCGCCTCTCTTCCTGGTACCAGTTCCCCCCACAGTAGAACCACTCCCCCCACAGGGTCTTGCTCCCTATGGTGTGATTTAGGTAGACCCGCCCCCCTTGGTTGAGCCTTTAGAGATCTCTTCTGACTCCTCTGGTTCGGCTGAGGGGGGTGACCCCGCCGCTGACAACACGGCAACCACTCGCCACTCTCCTCGCTTGGAGACCCCCCCTGGTTTTCCGCCTCGGCCATCTTCGCCACCTCCGCAGCGTGTTGCTGTGAACTCTGGTGCTCTTGCGGGTGGTGACACTGGTGGTGCGGGTTCTGGGGGTGCTGAGACAGGGGGTGCGGGTTATGGAGGTGCTGAGACTGGGGGTGCTGACACTGGGGGTGCTGCGAGTCCTCGTGGCAGTGGAGCCGTGGGTGACCCTACTGGAGGTCCTGGAGTTGGACAGCCTAGTCGACTTGAGACGCTCTCGCCGCAGCAGATTCGTGAGTGGATTGTTCAGCGAGGCCGTACTGGTGGTGGAGGTTACGGTGTTACCGCTTTTGGAGCTGCTGGTGCTGGAGGTACTAGAGGAGCTGCTGGTGCTGGAGGTACTAGAGGTGCTGCTGGTGCTGGAGGTGCTGGAGGTGCTACTGGTGCTGGAGGTGTCGGGGCTACTGGTGCTGGAGGTGCTGGGGATGCTAGTCCTGGAGGTACAGCTGGTGCTGGAGCTGCTGGAGCTGCTGGAACTGGAGATGCTGGTGCTGTTGGTGCTGGAGGCGCTGGAGCTTGAGGTACTGGAGGTGCTGGAGCTGCCGGAGCTAGTGGAGCTGCTGGTGCTGGAGATGCTGGAGGTGCTGGAGGTATTGGAGCTGCTGGCACTGGAGGTGCTGGTGCTGCTGGTGCTGGAGCTGCTGGAGCTGCTGGTCCTGGAGGTGCTCGTGCTAGAGGTACTGGAGCTGCCGGAGTTGGTGGTGCTGCTGGTGCTGGAGGTGCTGGAGGTGCTGGAGGCACTGC